TGTGAGCCACTGCACCCGGCTCCATTATAGTTTGTGACTCAAACCAATACGTATGTATACAGCCTGTCCTCAGAATTGATCTTCCTGAACCTAGACAGAGGTGGGAGGGACAAAGAATAGAGAGGCTACCTGGGAGAATGTTTAGAGCTTCCTCCTCTTCATGATGAATGCGTTCACTCTCTACAACCAGAGCAGAGTCAACTTTGTTTTCCTCAAATGTGATTTTGGTGCTCCTGTGAGGCTGGTTGGAGTTAGAAGGGTTGTGACTATTTGAACAAGTGACAGCACATTCCTCCAGTGAATTCTGAGGGACTTCCTTTTCTTCAGCCTTCTGCACCTCCCTGATGAGCCCAGTGGGATAGAGATGACAAAAGATTAATCCAAAAGTGATTAGAGCCCAAGAAGTCCTAGCTGGTTTTGAAAGGAGGCTTAAGGGAGTGGTCCCAGAATGCAAAGGAGAGGTTCCTTTTAAGGGGAAACAGGCAATCCTTTTCTGTCTGCAACAGAGCATGGCTGCCGTGGGAACCAGAGAGGAAGTGAGCAGCTAGTGATCATTGCATTGGGTAGATAGGAGCTGAGCAGGATGGAGACTCAGTTGTCTCTGTATGGTACAGTCTTGACAGCACACACAGAGATCCAAAAACAGCTGCCACACTGTGTGTCTAAGCTGGGTTGTAGTTCACTGTGGCCACAGGAATACAGGTGTTTATGCCATTGTGGACTCTAGAGGTGGTGTGCCTTCTAGATTTTTTTTAAATTTTAATATTGTGACATGAAATGTAAATTTTTTTGCCTAAATACTTTTCTTTGTGTTCAACTTTGCTAGGTGCTTCCTATTTCCTCTGCTTGTTGCCTCTCTGTTATTTATCTTTACTAAAAGGAACCTAAAGACAACCGTGTATAAAGCAGCTTTGCATCTCCTCCTGACTTTCACTACAGAGAAGAAAAGTTCTCCTCTGTGTGTGCAGGAAGTCCCTAGGGCTGTGAGTTCATCTAGGGTCATGCTTACGTGTACCATGAAGACAATGGACAAGCATGTTAACAGGGCTATTTCCTTGCTGGGTGAGTGCATGAAATCAGTGGACTCTGCAGGTTTCTTATCCTGCATCTGGAATCTGTGACTACCTTCACCCACCTTGTGTTCTTTCTGAGACCCTTTTCATATTTTACCACCCATTACCCCGCTCTTGATTATTCAGTGTTACCTGGGGGCAGGTGATTCCTGTACTTTCTCAACCTCCTCATCCATCTCATCTTCATCCTCATCTTCATCATTTTCTGCAAATACAGAAGTGTCCATTCAGATGTGTCCCACTTCATCTACGTAAGTACAGTGAGCCGTATGTGTACAGAGACATGAAGATCTATGTGTATGAGTCCACACTGTACTGAAAGCTCTCATGTTTTATCTCTAAAAAAATGCCCTGGCATCTTTTCCTGATGCATGAGGCAATGCGTTTCTGATCTGGGGGGGTCACCATCAAGATGTGGCCAAATATTGAAAAGACCTTTTGCTCTTCATATCACTGGAGGCTCGTCCAGGTTCTCTGAGCTTCAGCAGCTGTCTCCCCAATCCTGCTACAGATCTGATCCCGAGGCACAGACTCTGGGTCCTGTCACAATTCGCATTTAGAACCTATATCTTTCTTTTAGAACAGGACAAACAACCTTGTCCCACCAATACATTACGGACTTCATGGACCCTCCAAGTGGCTTCCATTGTGTTATCCAAGGACAATCTGTCCATGGGGAGTGCTCCAGTCTAAACAACTTCCTACCACCAAATGCCACCACATCAAGTGCCTTCTCCAACACGACACAGTGACGGGCTTTATCTCATTGTGAAATATAGTCATAAGTGTTCCTACATTTGAATGCCAGAGACAATTTGTTTGCCTTCACAGAATTAGACACAGAAACCCAGGAAGGATAAATTAATCAGTTGCCCACAGTTGCTAAAGACATTGCTGAAGATAGAGCCTGGGAACCTTCACTCTTAGTCCGGGTCTCTTTTCACTCTAACAAGCTGCCTCCTGTCAGAGCCTCCTTCCTGTCCTTTAAAACTGGACGAATGCTGCCTCTTGCTCCAAAGACCATGTTCCATCAAGAAAGGAGGAGACATTTGCAATACTGTGACCTCCAACCCCATGGGTTTCCCATCTCTATTCCTACCCAGGAAGTCCTGGTCATGTCATGCCCACAGATGTTTACTGGAAAGATACACTACCTACAAAATTGTCATTGTGGAGGTGTGGAGTCTGGGGACTTCCATAAGCCTAGAGCTGTGTGTTATCAGGGCCCATGGCCACCTCACCTGGGCTCAGCTTGTGAAACAAGCGCTCTGCCACCCGGTGCCCCTCAGTCAGCTGCTCTCGGAGGTCCTTACCCTGGGACTTTTCAAGGTCATCAGGAGTGAGGAGGGCCTTGAAATGCTGATTCAGGAGCGGGAGGCATCTCTCCTCCTGTAACTTCTCCCGTAACTGGGTCAGCTCTCTGCCTGAGAGTAACCAGGGCTTTATATTGCCTAAGGTGAGATAGTAGAGAACATTTAATATGAAAGGGATCAGTGATCAGGTCTAATACTGCAACAGAGGATTCTTGAGAATGTCCTCAAGGAGACCTCCAAGCAGAAGGTCAGAACATGTTTGGGGAAATGTCTGTGGCCAAGAGAAAGAAGAATATATGTGTTTGTATACACATACACACACATATAGACACACACACATATATACACACACATACATATTCGTATATATACACACACACACAGCCTTCTGATATATCAGAGAGTGCTTCTGTAAGATCCTCATTAATGTTTCATTCATCTTTTTCTTCTGTAAACAAAAGTCGGTGTCTTCCTAAATCAGTTCCACAAGAATGTCCTTTGAGCTCCTCACTTTGGCCATGGGCATCTCTATGTGAAAATTCACTTAGCGCATCTTGCAGTGACTAGACACAAGCCATGCATAGAAATGTGGCCAGGTGCAGATGGGGTGAATTGAAAAGATTAAAGAAGAAAAGAATGACAGGGTCAAGAAGGCAACACTGATTGAATGAAACGCCGCAGTCAGTCACGAGGTGATTCTGACTAAGAGTAAAGGTGGTGGTGATCTCACACCATTTTGAGTATCCTAAATGCTTCTGAGTGGTTCACTTGTTTTTGGTTTATTTTGTGTTATGCAAATTTGACCTAAACAATTAGTGGCTTCAATAAGAGAAAACAAGGCTTAAGATACAACTGCAATCAATAACTTACTAAGATGACTGTTCTCTGTTTTATAAATATTTGTGTGACATGTGCCTGCCATGTAAATGCCTGCCCTTGTCATGGCCCAGCTTAGCTCTTAGTTCTCCCAGCTGAGTTGCTGCACTTCAGAGATTCACACTCCTGCCCCTCTGCCTGCCCCCAATGGGGCCTACTCACCCGAGCTCCTCAGCTTGCCTGAGCTTCTCTGCCAGCTTCTCTGTGAATTGCTGTTCATCCCTCAGCACAGAGTCTATGATGTCTTTGTACTCTTCACACTCTGAGAAAAGACAGACATGCCTGCCTCAGTGGAAGGCTGGACATGCTGCTGGGATCACTGCCTATAGGGCACGTGGCAGCATCCATCCCAAGGATGAAAGCAGCCCCAGTACCAGACTCCAGGCAGGCATTTCCACATCTTTATTTATCAACCTCCCAACTTTCTGTTATCTGATACTCCCCAACTTAGAGATGGGAAGAAAGAAACTCAAGGGCCCATCAAGTAGCTTGAGAAGATGATTCACCTGGAACAAGGCAGAGTCAGAATTCACAGCCCCTGAGGTCTGACTCTGAATCTTGGGTCACTTCCCCAAGCCTTTCAGCCTCTCCTGTAAAACACTGCGCTGGGGCATGAAGTAATAATATCCTGCACAGTCGGAAAGACCCTTAGCACTATGGGACTCATGGTTTCCCTTGTACCGGGAATTTCAAGTGCAAATATATCAAACATGTAAAAAATCATATCTGGATATAATTGCATAAAATATGAGGCATAAGACCATGGGGCAACAATAGAAATATGCCCAAATACTAATAAAGTTTGAATTAAGTTAGAAACAGTAGAATGAAGAACTAATAGAGAGTGTTTTCTCTGTTCCAAGAACTGTTCTAGAAAATGTACAAGCAATAGGTTATGTAATTCATTGCAGTAATTTATAGGGTAGGAATTATTATAGTACCCAATGAACAGATGAGGAAACTGAGGCACAGAGAAGATAGGCAACTTGGATGGAGCCCAGGAGACTGGCCCAGGGTCTCTGCTCTGCACACTACACTGCTACCTCCACAATGTCTTATGTGCCAGCTTTCTTCCTCTTTAGGAACAAGAGCCTGTGCCCCAGGAAGCAAGGCTTCCCTCTCACTGGCACACTACCTGCTTTGAAGGGTGTCACAGATACCACAGTTTCTGTTAGGAGCAGTCTTTTCTTTGAGCTCCTTAGAGTGGGTATAGTGTACGGTTGCCACGTTTCCCCCAAGAGTCCCCAGGACGGAGCTTTGCCTATTGGGCCTCAAAAAAGCCCGAACTGAATGGAAGTTCATTAGTCCCAGATATTTCGACCAACAGACTAGATGTTATATGTCTGCAGGATCTTGTATGGTACAGAGAGGATTCTCATAAACATGATTTAGCCTCTTACTCAGGAAAACAGGTGGTTCTGTGCCTGTGTCAGTAGTCAACATGTTGGATTTTAACTCTCCTCTCACCTCACACCAGACTGCAAATGTGGAAAAGTTGCTAACTACTTTGTGCCTGTGTTTTCCATGTTTAACAAAATGAGGTTAAAATACTCACTTCTATTGTCCTAGAAGTATGGGAAGGATGACATTAATTTTGATGAAGAGACCGTTCAGTTTCTCAGAGAGAAGACAGGTGGTCATTCATCACTTTCGTGATGGTGAATCTATAGAACTTACTGTATTTCTTCAGCTGGTTGGCCAGGGAGTAGGCAGTAGCTTGAGTTATAAGGAATTTCTCTTTGAGGTCTCGGAACTGCTGATTGCTCTCTGCCAGCTGGGAGCGCAATTCCTTGTTGATTTCTAGGATGTTCATCTCTGCCCTCTCGCGGGACAAAGGGTCGGCAGATACCACCATGCTGACGTTTGTGGCAGAAGAGGTAGAGCCAGGGACTGGGGAGAAGAAACCCAAACACATGATGGGTCAAAAACTAGTGAAATCAGTTAGGTTTCATCAGGACTGAGAGATGACAATAACTGGAATTGTTAACTTACGGTTGAGAAAAACTTGATCAACACCCACAACACTTTAGAGTCCTTAACCGCAAAAACAGGGTCCAGGATGCCTGAGCTCAGAGTTGAAGGCACTGCCTAAAGCTCCTACTCTGACAAGAGTGAGGGAGGTAGCAGCCAGCGTGCCAGGTAACAGTCTGCAGTTGCAATAACAGAATTAGAAGGTGGGGGTGTCATGGAATCTTAGGAGCCCTGTATTCCAATTGCCCAGCCTGTGTTGAAACACTAGGCTCCCTGGTCTCACCTGAGGGTCACTGATGGGGACCATTTCTTCAGCAGTCACTCTCAGTATTAGTGCACCCTTGTGACAATGTTACAGGCCCACCTCTTTCCTAATACATATAAGCATGTTCCTCATTGCTCATCTCTTGTGTGTATAAAATCATCAAGGTGGAGCTAGTTTCCCCTAAGGTTATGTTTTCTTAGTGGTAGTCACAAAGTCACCCCACCTTCTTTTTAAGGTAAAATGATCTCAATGCTTTTCCACAAGTGAAAGATATCAAATTTTAGACTGCTAAGATATCTTTTGGGTCTTCTGCAGTTTTTTTGTGTCTACTGAAAATGAATGAATAATTCATTTTTTAAAAATATTTTCTATCCTTTCTCAGTATTCTTGTTGCATCCCATTGTTATGTTGGTTTCTTTTCTCTTACTGGGGAAGCATCTTGTCTTTTCACTACACTTAAGACCAGTTTCACATCCCTACGTCCATAGCTCTTCCTCTATGCATGGATTGGTTTGCTTTTTTAATGTCACTGAACACTCGTTTCATACTTATCACTTACAAAGATCATTCTGGTTCCAAAAGAGTTCTTTTCAAGGTGTCAAGTGATGAAAATCATTTGTATATATCCCCTGAAAGCATGTGTGACCATGTATCTTGGGAAGTCTTGTAAACCTGTAACTATTTTCATTTAGTTTTCCCATATATTGAAAAGAACAGGGCCATGAACACTTCTTATGGAACACTGTTGGATATATATATATACATTTTGAGTTGCTGTAAACCACTGATGTGTGGTTGCATTCCAGTAACAGAACCTGGCAAGATCAAGCTCATGGTCAGAGGTGGTTGGTGATCCTCAGTGTTCCTGTGCAATAGAAGGTGAGTTTGAGATGAGAGGGATGAGTAGGGGAGCGTGATCCCCTGAACCACCTCCTCACTTTCTCAGCTTTCATCCCCACCCAGATTTTGTGAGGCTAGAACTTGGGAGATTGTCCTGTAGCCCAGGTCTCCTAAGTTTGGCTGCTGGACTTGCCTGAGTTGAGGTGTGATAAGTGTGACCATGGGCTACTCAGCATTCATGTGGAAGTGAAGGGAGGAGGACTGGATCAATCCCATTGTAAAGCGTGCCTCTCAGCAGCCTGCACCATCCTCCAACTACACTGTGTAATGACAGTGCTTTGAGAGGTAGCAAAAGCTGTAAATAAATCTATTTTCTGGTGTGTGTGAGACCTGATATTATACGGGAGGAAGAAAAATCTGCAAAATTTCTTCATTTTAAAAATGGTGAAACTGCAGATCAGAAAGACCAGAAAGTTATATGGCTTTTTTGAGGTCACACAGGGATGAGTCTTGAGCACTGTCAATAAAAGCAATCACAATATTTATTCAGTGATTATTCATAGAATCAATAGAATTCAGTGAATATTCATATACTTATGAGTAATATTAATCGACCAATTGGTACCAGGTATTTTCCCTAAAACTGCACATATTTAGACTTTGTATTTTCATCACAAACCTTAAGGTAATGTTATTATCCATAAGAAACAGGTATGAAACCTGAAGAAGAGGATAGCAAATCATGAATTTGGCCATATTTCCATTTTTTTGTTTCTGTGATTCTGGCAGAATGACCATATTGAGTCAAGGGAATAGTATTCATTACTGTATCATTTTCCAGGACAGAGATGTGCCTTACTAGAGTATTTGGAGTCAAAGTTTAGAAGTGTCTGCAACCTCGCTTTAACAGTATGGGAAATAACCTCTATTACCTGGAATTTCAATGGAACTTCCTAATATACAAGAGAAGTATGACACTTGGGTCTTCCCTTGGCTGTATTTAATTCACTCTTCTATAGAATACCAATGATTCTCATTAAGATTTCTGCCTTTTTGTAACCATGATATATATTTTTTATGGAGAAGATTTTACTCTTAACTCTATTTAGAAAGAATAAATATAAGCTATGGCTTAGGTTTTATGCCCTGGACTTAATAGTTTTCTGATTTCTGTTTTGAGGTTACATTCTCATGTAAACAGAAAAATACTCGTTATTACTTATAAGAGCAAATTAGTTATTGGTTTGAGTTTCTGAAGTCGAAGCACAAACTTTGTTTTTAATCTTTGTCTGTCCCCATCAGCGCCACTCATTGTCTCAGTACGACGAGGCCATGTCCTGCACTTACCCTCGTCCTGCTGAACCATTTCCATGTGCTGTCCAATTGCATCAGTGATTCGGGCTCTTCTCAAAGCCCTATGAAATGCGTCCAGGTCTCAGGATGTCAGACACTCTCCAGACACAAAAGCAAACCATACTGTAGAGTGGGCAGCTGGGTTCCCACCTCCCTGAAGTTGGCAGTGATGTCCTAGGGCGGGAAGGAATGCTTTCCCTTTTTAGGGGGTCTTTTCTTCATGCTTCAGTGCCTCTGATCTAGTGAACACAATTGTCCTGAATGCAAAAGAACTTGCTAAATTTCTGGTTTCTTGTTAGGTGGCTAGAATAGATTTATAAGACTTACTTACCCAAGTCTGCTGAAGTTTGAATTCTTAGCAATATGATTCCTTTTCTTGTAAGTTGAGCCGCTTGGAGAAAATTGGCCCTGTTGCCATGCAAAGAGATGTAAACGTAACATCTGCCCAAAGCAAGCTTGAATTTGAAACTAGGGCTTCCACTGTTCCAAGGTTGGACTGTCACTGCCTCAGGCATGTGTCCCGAAGGGCTCGTGTTTCTGCCATATTCAGGATAAAGTTAAGATGGAGCCCAGCAAGGCATGCCTCCTTCACTTCCAGGTTCCCCCAACAGTTTTCTCCTCTTTAGAGACTGCATTGAAAAACATTCTTGTTCTGCTTTTGTGTTTTGGCTTTGGAATGATGCGATGGAGCTCAATGGTTCCTACCCCCAAGTTGATCAGAGTAAGAAACACCTGGGAGGTCAGTGCAAATAGAAGTCCAGTGTCCTCCTTGCAGGAATTCTGATTCAGTGCCCTCAGGTGGGGCCTGGAATGTGTTTGTTTACATGACTGAGATGTGCAGTCCGTTTGGGGACCCTCTGATACCACGGACCTTACAGCTTATGGGATGATTCTGTTTTGCTGATGAAGAAACCAAGGCACAGTCTGTAACTTGCCCAAGTTCCCTTTGCTGTAAGTACTGGAGCCAGATCTCAGGAAGAGTCCCCCTTCTCGAATCCGCTTTCCACATTTTCCAATTCAGTTGTGTAGGTGCTTTCCAAGTAGGTGTTTCTCTCCCCTGTACCTCATTTCTGCAAAACAAACACACATTAAAACAGACAAACAAAAAACAAAACAAAACAATAAAACCTTCTTGAATTCAATTTGTTTCATTTAATACATTTCCTCACAACATGCAGTGAGCAATATATTTTGGCCACTTACTATTAATGTGAGATGCTTGTTTTTTTTTTTGAGACAGATTCTCATTCTGTCATCCAGGCTGGAGTGCAGTTGTTATTAGAGCTCACTGCAACCTCGAACTCCTGGGCACAAGCGATCCTCCTGCCTCAGCTTTCCAAGTATCTGGAACTCTAGGCATGCATCACTATTTCTGGCTAATTTTTTGTTTTAAAGTTTTTTGTAGAGACGAGGTCTTGCTATGTTGCTCAGGCTGGTCTTAAACTTCTTTCACTCAAGAACTTTTCATTGAAAAGTCTTTCATTTCCCCAATGAGAAGCACTGGTGTCTTTGTTTTTAAAAACTTTAAATAACTGTATATATATGAGCATAATGTTTGAGTCTATATTCTTTGTATGTGATATACTTCTATATACTTACACTAGTACCATAGTTTTTAAATGATTGTAGCTCTAAAATGAGTTTTGAAATCCAGCAGAATAACTCCTACAACTTACTGCTTCTTCAGGATTGACTTGCCTGTTCTGGGTTCTTTGATTTTCAAATACATCTTGAAATTAGGTTTTACATTTCTCTAAAAATTCCTACTAGAAACATTAATCAGAACTATGTTGATGTAATATCCTAACAAAATTGAATCTTCCAATCCATGAATGTAATATATTTCTCTATTTAGTCTTCTCTAATTTCTCTCACCAATAGGTTTCAGGGGCTTTGTACCTGCTTCATTATATGTATTCTTAAGCATGTAATGATTTTGGATATTAATCTCTATTATTTTTTATTGAATTTCATTTTCTAGCTGCTAATTGCTAGTATGGAGAAATTAAGATGACTAAATCAACGTTATGAAGGTATTTATTAGGTACAATAGACTGCACCACTTTAAAATGCGTAATCCAATGCATGTTTACAAATATACACACTAATGGAACTACTGCTACAATCAAGATATAGGAATTTCCATAAGCTCAAAGTTTCTTGTAACCCTTTGCAGTTCATCACTCTTTCAACCCTCAGGTCTGAGGAGTCACTGTCACTTTCTGGCAGTGCATTTTTAACCATTTTCTATAAATGAAATTATACCTGTGTTCTTTTGTGTCTGCCTTCTTTCATGTGTTATATTAATTTTAAAATCCATCCATGTGAGTATTTTCAGCAACAGTTAATGCCTTGTAATTGCTGAGTAGTATTCCTTTGTGTGGCTATACCATGTCTGTTTATACATTCACTTGTTTTTGGACATTTGTGTCATTCTAGGTTTGGGCTATTTTGAATAAAGCATCATGAGCATCCACATACAGATCATTGTGTGGATATAGTGTGTAAATTCCTAGGAGTGGAAGGACTGTCCATCTGATCTGTACATGTTTAGTCTTACAAGAAACTGTTAGCCAGATTTTCAAAGGAGTTGTACCATTTTTCATTCCCACAAGTATAAGACTTCCAAATGGTTTATATCCTCACTGATATGTGGTATTTTCAGTCTTTTTAATTTTAGCCATTCTCATGG